ATCTATCTATCTATCTATCTATCTATCTATCTATCTATCTATCTATCAAAACATTGCTTTAATCACATGGTGTTTTTGTTGGAGATGTTATCTCGCTGTGTAAGAGTAATTTTAAGAGTAGGACTCTGACCTGAGAAATTATAAATGAAACAGGTGTTATGAGTATAAGAAAAGAACTGCATTTTCAAGAAATACACTATACCTACCAGATGTTCTGTTTTGATAGAGAATAATTCAATTTAAAGAATCAAATTTCTTGGACTTTTGCATATAGTGGAGCATCCTATAGAATATACATACTCACAAACACAAATAGACTCCATACACACATAAACTAAAACATATATAAACTAGGCACTGATTAAATTAATAAAAAAGTCTTTTAATGCTATAAATCATATAGACTTTATGCTGTTATGAAAAATTAACCTTATTTAAGAAATCAGATACCATCTCATAGAAATAGTTGCCTCTAATATAATTTATAATTTATTAACATGCACAAATTGAGAGTTTCATCTGACTGATATACCAGACGGTGAGAGCAGAGTAGGCATTTGGATGACTACATTCCCCCCCAAAATTGTGTAGCCACATTTTTATATTTTCAAGTGTATTCCTTTCTGTAATTCCTCTCAAAATTTCTAATAAATAGACTAATTATTCCAGGCTCTACTTTTTATTTACCCCAAGATCCATCAGTGGAGCTGATAATACAACAGTGATTTGGAAGAAAAGTCAATATTCTCAAGCAGCATATCTCAGCTAATATCCAGTGAGGAATTTAGTTTTATTATCAGATTTGAACAAGTTAAAAATGTGGTAAAATATACATCAAAAGAGTCAGTCGAATGCTAGAGACAAGATTCAATGGTGGAAACACCATAAAAGTCACAAATACCTGGTCAGAGCTAAAGAAGCTTTTTGGATGAGAAGCAAAAGCTCTTCAAAGAAAAAAACAAGAAAGTCCAGTTATCTCCTGAAAAAGCACCTTTGCCCTGGATGACTGATAATCTCTTACAGACTTTTAGCTAGACAATTTGGGATGAACACCCTTGGAATGGTGTGGGAGTAGGAATGGATTTCCAGAGGGAAAAATAATTGCAGACTACAAGAACCAGGAGCACCACTCAGGTGACCCTGAGGACACAGATAAACCTCCAAGTGCTTCAACAGCCCTCTAAAAGGATGCAAATGACCAGCTGTCTGAAAGGAATATAAATCCTCCCATTCCCCATTGTCAGAACTGAAGAAGCTTCTTGGATGAGAAGCGAAACATCTTCAAAGGAAAAACAAGAAACTCCCGTTGCCTCCTGAAACAGCACCTTTGGGATAGAATACAAATGAATATTCATGTCCCAATCACCTCAGGGTTGGACAATTACAATGCATTGGACTACTCTTGAAGACTACTGGTCCAGAATGCATTGGCATAGAAAGTGTTGGGCATGCTTACTACACTTTGGATGTGATATAATCTAACACACATTTATTACAATTGGTGTTGTCAGTCATGAAACATTAAATTTGCCATCTTTCCTAAAGTGCCTTCTATAAAGTGCCTAAAAATTCCTATTCTGGATTCATCACACACCATAAACATTGCAATTCTGTAACAGAATTGAATTATGAATGATATTAAT